ATACTATCCTTAAAGAAAGTGTAAAATTTTAAGTGTATGATTGTTCTTGAATATAGAAATAATTTTTTTCCGTGTATATTGTCTTCATCATACATCAGACTACATATGCTCACAAAATTTTATATCAATACAAACTGTCGTTCTCATTAGAGCCTCCGCGGCGTATGAGAGGCGCCACCGAACAAACAAACAAATTACATTAAATATATTTATAAACAATATAATGTCTGAATGAAATATACCGGGTGCTACAAATTCGAGGTACGAGCATTGGTATCTCGGTAACCGTGATTGATACGAACACGGTTAAATTGGGGCAAAGTTGCGTTTTGAGATGTTTACCAAGATGCCATAAAAAAGTTTTAAAAATTTCAAGGATTGCTGAGTTTTATGGAAAAAACGGATTTTTTTGAAAATTAATTTTATTTTTTCCTGTCGTTACTTTTACGAAAATCAAAAAACTAATTGCACATTCTCATAGCCACTTTATTAGAGCTATCCGACAGTATTTTTAGATTTTCAAATTAGCTGATAATTTGTGAGATACAGAGGCCAACTTAATTTTTTTAAATACGGACCTGCATTTTTTATTTCTGATTTTGAAAGAACTCGGTCTCCTGAGTATAATGATATGCCACACTTAATATTTTTTTTTTGTTTCGGACATTTCAACACAATTTATTTAAACTAATTTCAAGTCCGGCTCTGTTTTTTAAACGGTTTTATTTAGCTCGACCCGTACGGTATTTACTTATTTGTTTGTTTATTTGGGTCAAAATTAGAAATTGAAATTTAAGTACTTTCCTGTTGTCAGATTGATCTGAAATTTGGTACACACCTTTAGTTTCGATGACAATACAATATAGTAATATCAATAACATTGTAAATCTAAGATGGCCGCCGGTACAAAATGGCGGATTTCATATTTTTCCACAACCCCCTCAATATGGGTATCAAATGAAAGGGCTATACTATTAGAATACTGTGATTAGGACAAAATTTAAAATCCAAGATGGACGTCGTTACAAAATGGCGTATTAGGTGAGGGCATGAGTAGTCGTGTCCAGAACAATTGTGTCCAAGATTCTGTGACGTTAGAAGGACAGATAAAAAAAAATAGGTGATTAGATGTACCTACGTAGGTAGCGGTAGCTTTACCACCCAAGTTAAGGTAATTAAAACGGCGAAGCCTGCCGCTAAGTGGCTCAATACCTGAGACATGGACCTATACAAGGTATAGTGTTCATGTCGAAGGAAAAAAAAAAAAAAAAAAATAGGTTAAAACGTGCTGAGGACTGTATGGCATTAGGGTGGCTAAAAATGTAATATCGCAAGCGTTTTCCCCTCAAGATTGGGCGCCTCTTGTTGTATATTATAGCTAGTAGTGGGAACTATCGAATGAATACTATCGAAACATTCGATAGTTGCAATTCATTCGAATAATTCGATAGCTAGTAAGAGAACATTCGTCGAAAACTATTCGAATAAAAATTATCGAATAGATGCGTCATCTGCCTTGAAATATTGTATTCTAGTAATTCGGCAGCAAAAACCATTCATTTATAAAATTCATTCATTTATTCGTCAGGATCGATTTTAATAAAATATAAACTGGATTTTAGTTGTCGTCCGGCGACGTAGGTTTCTTTCCAATGCAATGCTATGAAAGAAGCCGGCATCTTTGATTTTTTGCGGAGTCAAATAAAGATAAGGACACATTATTTTTTTTATTGAGGTGCTAGTATTTACACAGAAAATACATTATGGAGGGCGCTGTTGCCATATATTCGTATTAGTTAGTATTAGCAAAGAATATTATTCTTTAGCATTAGTTAGTTAGGGATAGTATGTTTTGCATTTTTTTATTAATATTCTGTTGTTACACTGCAATAATACTTTTTATTTTGGATGTAGGAAAATGGTTTTTAATGTTTTTAAGCAAAAACTGGTTTAATAAATAATAATAACAGTAATAATTTATTATACCTATTAACAACAAAATTTAAAATCATTTAATAATATAAAATTTTTTTTAATTAGTAGTAGCAAAATATAAACAACAAATAGAAGTCAAAAGTATTTATATTAGATCCTATTTAAAAATAATATAGTCTCTAAATGGCAACGTTGGTTTATTAAATAATAATAATTACAGAACTAATTTGTTATATTAACAACAAATTTTAAAATCATGAAATATAAACATTTATTAATTTTTCTAAGCATGCAGTGTAATGGAAGGAAAATATAAATAAAAAATTAGAAATCAAAATTATTTATATTACTTTTTATTACTTTATATTACTATTTAAAAATAATATGTATTTTTACTGGCATTTACTTTAAAAAATAAATGAAATATTTCTTCGCAAAAAACTACAAGTAAGAGAATTAGCATAAACAAAATACAAACATTGTTAACTTTTTTTTAAAATGGCACGTGTTAAACTTTCAATTTAGTTTTCTGACCCCAAAATTGGAGTTCGATAACCATTTACTTAACCACAACTAATTCATATTATTAAAACATCTAAAATACAAATATGTATTTTTAAAATTAATTGTAAGTTCATCTCATCTCTCTTAAAAATTGCTACTTCTCAAAATTTCCCATTAAAAAAATGCAATCTAACCTAACCATAATATACCATATAAAATTAAATAATTGAAAGATCGGGCTATGGAAAATCACACAAAATTTCGGAAAAATTTTGACTACTTCGCACACAATCGTCAATTAAAACAAACTACTATTTTAGTATTTTAAATATTTTAATAAACGCAAAAATAGCATAGTATTTACAAGGCGAAGTTATAAAAATTTGGAAGAACTAATAATGCACTGATGCACACAAAAATCAAACGAATACTAAATTTCATTTATCAAAAGCATTCGATATAGTCGTGGCTCGTGGCGCAACGATAACCATTTAGTCGCACGGCGAGGTTGTCACATATGCTTTAGTATACAAATGAATGAATTATTTTATACGAATAAAACCATTCAATAGTTGAAATCATTCATTCAGTAACCATTCGATAGTCTAATTCATTCGATAGTTCCCATCGCTAATTATAGCCTTGCCCCTCTACTGAACCTCTGGGGGGGTCGACCCTTAAAATGTCCATTACTCGTGGGAACAACATGGACGAAATTTCAATGGTATCTTATCAAATGTTGTGTATGATTGACGCACGATTAAGACAACTTAAAAAAACATGAAGACGAGTTCTTTGGAGGCATAAACGTTTTACTTTTTGGAGATCTGTTACAACTGCCTCCAATCAAACGCTCCGGAGCTCCTGTTTTCAAACAGCCCGATCATCTCCAACCAGCCACACATCTATGGCGTTTGTGAACGCTCTGTGAGCTGACGGAGAATATGCGTCAGCAAGGGGACCATACTTTTATTGATATATTAAATGCTTTGAGAATAGGTGAGCTAACCGCTAACCATTTTAGTATTTTGATGCAAAGAGTTATTCAAAACCCAAGTGATGAGTTTGCAACAGACAAAGCGAGAAGTATACCCCCACCAATCAGCAAGTAAACAATCACAACGCTGCTGTTTAAATCTGTTCCGGAATAAGGGATCTCAATTTATACCATTAAAGCACAGGACCAACTAATTGACGCCACACGAAATACAGATAATTTAAATTTAGCAAAATATAATACCAACAGATATAAATAAGACTGGAGGCTTACCATCAGTACTTGAAATATTTGTAGGAGCAAAAGTAATGTTGCGGTCCAACATTGACGTTACAAAATGATTGGTAAATGGTGCTATAGGCCACATTACAGAAATTGTTTGGCCTCAGTTCCGTCGAACCCAAATGTACGAAACAGATGTACCATCAGTTTGGATGGACTTTGGCAGAGACGCAATACACGTTATACACCCGAAAGCCATACAGTTTCCAGCAAAATTCAATTATGGTACGGCTGAAAGAAGGATGTTACCCTTAATTTTGTCATGGGCATCCACCGTCCATAAAATGCAAGGCAGCACAGTCGACCATGCAGTAGTGTATTTGGGCTCAAAATTGTTTGAGGAAGAGGGCAAGCATACGTTGCTCTAAAGTCGAGTCAAGTCTCTGGAAGGGCTATGTATTGAGGAATTAGATTGTAATAAATTATCAGGTAAAAAACTATGTAATAATGATGCACTAAATGAATTAAATAGAATGAGGAATATTCGGTAGGCATTTCCGTTAAATACTAAAAACTAGAAAATAAAAAATCGGTAAAAACTTTTAAAAGTTAAACGGTTTTATTTTATGTGCACTGAAAACTAGAAAATAATAATAACAATTAGGTATTTGAACTTCTAGTTCAGAAACTATTTTTACATACTAGGCAAGAATAGCTTTTAGGCATATTGACTAAAATAAAAACGTGGGGCCCATTAACTATTGCTGTAATACTTTCTTCTATACTAAGTGTGGATTGCATCGACTTACTATAATCGTAACTGGAAATTTTGACAATCAATAACCAGCCGTGGCGGCTTCACCAGCAAACGCCGAGCTCATGATCTACCAAAGTATAAAGATATGCTTTGCCATAGGTAGGATTTCAGAGGGGTCCCACGTTTTTATTTTAGTCTAATATGCCTAAAAGCTATTCTGCCTAGTACTAAAATATTTCTGAACTAGAAGTTCAAAATACCTAATTGTTATTATTATTTTCTAGTTTTCAGTGCACATAAGATAAAACCGTTTAACTTAAAAGTTTTTTTACCGATTTTTAATATTTAATCTATTCATCGTTATAATATGGATAAGCTTTCAAACTTAACAATGACGTGGGGTAAAACATTGGATATGGAAAATCAAATGCAATAAAATAATAAAAAGAAATATACAAATGAATACATTACTTCACGTCATTTGTAAAAGTGAAATCAATACATCTCAACATTTAGGGTAGGATAGCGTAAGAGTACGCATTCCGTAAGAGTACGCGGCGGCCATATTTATGAAGTGACAAGCAATCTGCCTAATATAAACGCATAAGTAGCTTGGTAACGGCCATAGGAGTAGTGTCTAAAAATCTGATGGTGTTGCTTTAACCCTTCTTTAATTGGCGGTAAGAAATGATATTTTCCCCTATTTACTATAATATTTGTAATACAACAAGTAAGGTACATACATTTGTGCATTCAGTTTTTTATGAAAACTGCTGTAATAGTAATAAAAAGTGCTTTGTTTACAGAGACACTTTTAGGTTAAATTAAAGTTTTATTAGTTGCCTAAATGGTTAAATTGGTTTTTAGAATTTGATTACGTGTCTCCCTAAGAGTACGCACAGGTGCGTACTCTTAGGTATACGATAAACATTTAATTTTTAATATTTTTATGCTGTAGACAATTCCAAAACAGTATAATAATGAGCCCGTACAAACGAAAGAGCGATAGAGTACTAAAATTTACGCAAGAAATGTTAAATATGGCAGCCGATAGAATATCAAAGGGAGAGAGTAAAAGATCGGTTGCAAAGGCATTGGGGGTAAATGAATGTACTCTAAGGAAGAGGTTGCGTGAAGTAATATGTAGGATTACTTTAAAATTTTAAACTATTCCTCGTTTTACTTTTTTTAGGGCACTGTTCCAACTAGCTTGGGTAGATTTAAACCAATATTTTCGAAAGCACAAGAAAAAGAATTGGCGGATCATATTCGCGATCTGGAGGCGAGATTTTACGGACTTCGTATGAAGGATGTTAGATCACTAGCTTTTCAATACGCGAAACTAAACCACATTTCTCATAGGTTTAACGAACAAAATTTAATGGCAGGGAAACATTGGGCACAGGACTTTGCTGCTAGAAATCGTTTATCTTTAAGAGCTCCAGAAAAATGTAGTTTAGGTCGGGCTACAGGATTTAATAAAGTCCAGTGTGACAGATTTTTTAAAAATTTAAAACTTGTCTACGAAAAAACAAAAGTGCTGTCACACAGAATTTTTAATATGGACGAGACGGGACTTTGTACTGTTCCAAACAAGCTCCATAAAATTTATGCAGTAAAGGGCAAAAGAACAGTATCAAAAATAGTGTCAGCCGACAGAGGTCAATTAGTTACTGCAGTATGCTGTATGAGTGCCTCTGGTACCTGGGTACCGCCAGGTTTAATATTCGCTAGAAAGCGTATGAAAGAAGAACTTTTTTATGGGGCACCTCCAGGTACACTGAAGATGATATCTGATTCTGGGTATATGAACACAGAATTATTTCTAGTTTGGTTGCACCATTTTTCAACCTTTGTTAAACCTTCCGAGTCGGATCCTGTAGTTTTAATTATGGACAACCATATTTCACATTGCTCTCTGGAAGCAGTTTTATTTGCGAGGAGCCATTTTATTACACTTTTAACATTACCACCCCACGGAAGTCATAAGCTTCAGCCTTTGGACAGAGTATTCTTCTTCCCCTTAAAAACGGCTTTTTCTGGAGAATGTGATAAATGGATGGTTAGTAATCCTGGGAGACCAATCACAATGAGAGAAATGGCAGCGCTTTTCCATTCAGCTTATTCAAAAGTCGCTACAATAGAGATCTGTGAAAAATCATTTGATTGTACAGGGATATATCCCTACAATCCTGATATTTTTACCGCAGCAGACTTTGCCCCGTCTGAAGTCACTGATAAATTTCATTCAGATGTAGACCGTCAAGGACAAGAGGATATAAATAGAAATGAATTAATAGAATGGTCTGATGAAGATGAAATACCACTGGCTGAATTGCAGCGACAAGAAAAACAAAAAATAACAATAGAAAAAGAAAATAGGACACCAACAAATAGTCCAATATTTAATCAAAATCAAAAAGAATATGCAAATCAGAGTCCACGACACAGTTTATCTTCTGTTAAATTAAATGAATCTGACCCATGTTGTTCTGTAACACCCAAAATGATTCTACCGCTGCCAAAAGCTAAATACGAGCAAATTAGGAAAACAAAATCTAAAAGGTCTGAAATTCTGTCCTCTACCCCATATAAAGAACATTTATTAGAACAGACAGAAGAAAAACTAAAGGCACAAAAGGGAAAAAGAAAAATTCTCAAGTGTAAACAAGCTTCAGCAACTAAAATAGACAACACTATCTGTCCAGGATGCAATGAAAATTTTAGTTACTCTGATTGGTTAATGTGCCGTGTTTGCCAAACTTGGTGGCATGAGGACTGTTCTAATTATCTTGGAAGTGGTAGTTTCTTATGCGATTTATGTGACAAGTAATTTTAACGATTGGTTAACTCGTACAATTAGAATGCGTACTCTTAGGAATTTACGTGCGAACTCTTAGGGGAATATTCACCAAAGAGTACGCATTTGCATGTTTTTATTTAAACTTAGATATTTTTGTCAAATACATTTTTAAATTACTTTTGGAATGTTATATGTTTAAATTAATGCATGTTTTATAATTTCCTAAATATACTTCAACCTTAAAACGACTTTGTTTCAATGTTATTCAGCAATAAATATTAAGTGCGTACTCTTGCGCTATCCTACCTACAATAAAGAGTACAAAATTCATTCGGAAGTATAAGAAGAAAGTTCAAAGAGCTATAAATAAAATTGAACGAAAAATAAATTAGTGCCATAGGGAGGATGGTAACCCTTTCGTACATGTAGAGCACTAGAAACTAGTTTGTAGAAGTCGATTTATTTATAATAACTTCGATTAATATTACGCATATTACTAGATCGCACACTGAGATTTCAAATTCACAATAAAAAAAGTTAAAAATAATATCTTTAAATTTCTGACCTGGTATAATTTATTTCAATCATCCAATTGGCTCGATTTTCCTTATTCAATATTGTTGCGATGAATATAATCAGATTAAATAATTTTAAAAAACCAGAGTCGAACTAGAAATTATTTTAAATAATAATTAAATAGTTTTGTTGTTGTTAAGGTACCCAAAACAAAAAAAAAGTATATAGTGTGGCATATCATTGTACTCAGGAGACTGAGTTCTTTCAAAACCGGAAATAAAAAATGCAGGTCCGTATTTGAAAAAATTAAGTTGGCCTCTGTATCTCACAAATTATCAGCTAATTTGAAAATTTAAAAATACCATCAGATAGTCCTAATAAAGTGGCTATGAGAATGTGCAATTAGTTTTTTGATTTTCTTAAAAGTAACGACAGGAAAAAATAAAGTTAATAAACTCAGCAATCCTTAAAATTTTTAAAACTTTTTTAATTGCATCTTGGTGAACATCCTAAAGCGGCAACTTTGCCCCAATTTAACCATGTTCGTATCTATTACGGTTACCGAGATACCAATGCTCGTACCTCGAATTTGTAGCACCCTGTATAAGCATAAGCATGTAATGTAATATGTAATATTATTTGGTTATTCCCAGGAAGCTTTAATATTTGTTTTACCAGTACCATGCCTGTTTAATATAAAATATTATTTCTCCAAATATATGCGGTTAACGATGAATATTAGCTGTAAATTACTACAAAATTTACCTCATTTCCTGTTCGCTCATAAAATACACAATAAAATCTTTTATGTGTACTATTTTCTACTTCTAAATATTCATTGCTGATGATTCATTTCTTAGTGGAATACTGTTATAAACTTAATTGAGATTTGTGGATAAATATTCTAATACAGGGTGTTTCAAAAAAGATTCCTTGCGTAAAAATAAGATTCATTTTTGAGTTTCATATCAACATGGGTCTGATTTTGCTTTATTTCGTTGCTACAAAGGGTCTAGTCTTCATTTTTTTTTCGATTTATTATAATTTTCTTCCAAGTGCTTTTAGTGATTTGAATGAAATTTTGAAGGTAAAAGTTACTATAAGTGCTATATATTTAAAGGCTATAGTCGATATAAAAAATATTCTTCTTTAGAAGTGTGTTTCAAAAAACAAGTGCCATCTTTGGTGGGGAGATTCCTCACGTTTACGATATAAAAATGAATCTAAAGAAGAAATATTTTTTATATCGTAAACGTGAGGAATCTCCCCACGAAAGATGGCACTTGTTTTTTGAAACACCGTGTATAAGAATCACAATGAACCTATACATATATCTTATCCTTGGAAATTTTAAGTTCTTGAACCTTGTATCTATATATTCTTAAATTAATTTCCTTGGGACATTTAGGTTCCGAAAACACTAAAAATTATATTTTCATCTTGTTTAAGAAAACTTTATTTAGTCTATAGACAAACGTTTCGGCCCACAATACAGCCTAAACATAATATAAACATAAAAGAATTTACAAAAATTAATATCCAAAAACAGACAATCTATCACAGCACAATGACATGATTTTCACTTTTATGATACATGTAACACTGATGAAGGGGCTGTATTGTGGGCCGAAACGTTTGTCTATAGACTAAATAAAGTATTTATAAACAAGATGAAAACATAATTTCAGTGTTTTCGGAACCTACATGTCCCAAGAAAATTAATTTAAGCATATATTTTATTCTACTTACATCCACAAAAATCATGTCTAAAAAATACCTTCCCCTAAATAAGGGTACCACTATGGCTATGAAAATTATACTGTTTGCTTTATAGTGTTTTGATACTCTAGTAGTTATCTGATTACTCTGAGATGACACTTTGTTTCGGATCACCATGAATTTTATTATTATTTATTTATATTATAATTTAATTTAATATTGCATTTCTTTTGACTTAATGTATTTCTTCAAGCAAAAATTAATAATACAGTAATGTTCGGTTATAACGAACCTCATGGGACCGGCGAAAACAGTTCTTTACACTGTAAAAAAAAATGAGTGAAATTTTACTCAGATTTCACTCAATACTTTCTCAATTTCTGTCCACACCCGATTGAGTGAAATTTCCACTCTACAGAACCGAATGAATCTTCAATTCTCAGAGTGAAAATCACTGAGTGTTTTCACTCAATCGAGATTAGACGAAAGACTCCTTTTTTACTCATTATTGTTTACCTTGAGTAGGATTTTGATCGATTTTGATAACTTATTCACTTTAAAATGAGTGAACTCACTAAGTGTTGAGTTCAAGACACCTTTTATTGAGTGACTTTTACTCAAATTTGTGTTACAGTTAACTCGATTAGTACTCATATCTGAGTATTAATTTCACTCAGTATTGAGAAATTATTATATATTCTAAATTATTTTTTTAAAAGCTATATGTAAGCTAACTTGTTATTTTATAACAGGTGGGCAGGTGCCTTTCAAAAGGTAAGTTTCAGTTTAGGACATGGTCTCGAACATGTCCATTTCCTAAAATTCACTTTGGGAGGCATCTGGTCACTTGTAATAAAATAACAAGTTAGCTTACATACTTTTAAAAAATCATTTAGAAACTATTTCGTTTTTTTTTAATAAACCAAATAAAAACTGTAGAACCTTCAAAAATATTTTTTATTTGTCATTTTATTTGACAAAAAAACAAATAAAACCAAATATAACACTATTATTATAATATCAAAAACATTTTAAAAGTTTTCAACTCTTTTTGAAAAAATACAGGAACTTTTTAAGCTAGATGTCTAGAAAGAGATTGCATCACATCGCAAAAAATCCGCTTTATTAAGAGCATTCGTCAGCTCGGCTACCAACATTCTCGAATATTTCTAATTTCTAAACTAACTTTTTAATAACGAAAATCCTCCGGAAAATCCAGATACTTTTCCTCCTGAAAATTAAAAAAAATGTTATTCTGCCAAATGTTCCAGTTCCCCAGTTCCAGATTGAAGGAAAGTACCTAGATTTTCGCTACGCTAATTAGTCCAGGAAACATCCGAGCATTGCGGCAATCAGTAGACGCAGTCGAATTTGAATATATGTTAGGCGGATTTCTGCGATGTGAAAAAAAATGTTCTTAACATAAAACATATTTAGGAGTTATGAGTTCGTATTCGCTTCACCACGCCACGCGGCCACTGTCACACTTTCACACTTTACATCACACACACATACACTATGGACTTGTAACCTGGGCACCTTCGAAGGAACAAGACAACCTACGACTCGAACAGATAATTAAAAACTGAGGAACAGGGAAATAGCTTATTCGGTATCGAAGAAGCGCGTATGACGTATGATTAGTAATGAGCGAAAATACTCTAAACTGGGTGATTTCACTCAAATTTTTATTGTATAAAACTATAACATGAGTTTTTAAGTTAATTTTTCTATTCCATTACTCAAAGATAGGGGTTATAACTCGAACATGAGCTTATTCAATAGCTATTGATTAAATAGAGATCATATTTGAGTAAAATGATGAATTTACTCTATTTTAGATAAAAATATACTCAATTATTTCACTCAAAAAATTCACTCCCTGAGAAATATGTGTTCACTCAGGCTGATTTTTTACAGTGTATAAGCAAAGTTCGTAATAAATGATAAATGCTGATAAACAAAAAAGATGTGGTATTTTTAATAATTTATGTGGTACATAAAATAAATTTTGTAATATGGTAGATACATTAACAACTTATTTTAGTTTGTTTGATTTTTGTGAAATGAATATCATTACTATGTAATTCTACTTCGGCTAATTGTTTAAGAACAGTTTGCGGAGTATTTCGTGACTGAAGGAAATGACGAACGTTATCAATATGTTGTAGTGCCTCTGATGTGGTCGGAAATGCCCTCAATTCTGTACTCACAAGTTCTTCATCTTCCGCCTCCTCATCGTCATCGAACTGAAGAAGACACAGAAGCGACAACGGCATCATTATCCAAGTATTCGACACTTACAAGATTATCATCAATATTGGCAAATTCATTAAACTCATTTTCAGAACAAGGAAGATTGTCTAGAATATTGTTATCATCTTCTTATCCAGCTTTTTTCAGCCATTCGGCTACTGTCGAGTCATCGTCTGAATCCAAATCATTTTCCACTTTTAGAAAACCACCGTGTTGAAAACAATTAAAAAGATAGAGGTATGGTTGTATAACCCACAGCGCAAGAAAGGAAGGTCCCCAAAGTTAACTCCAGCATGGGAAGGTCCTTGTACAGTCATCAAGAGGATAAATGATGTTGTGTACCGGATTCAACGCAGCCCTAGAAGTAAGATGAAAGTAGTTCATCTGGATCGATTGAAGAGATACCAGACAGGAAACCTTGATCCGGGACGATCAAATTTGAGAAGGGGGGCAATGTCAAGGGTGTATTACTGGTTGCATAACTGCATACTGCTAAATAATCGCAACGTGCATTGAGGAACCTGGCGCATTCGCCAGAAAGTAAAAAAGAAAATTATAGAATTCTTTAGAAAATCTAGAAACAATCGCCAGGGGGGTATAAGGCCCGCGCTTTGACAGTTGGACAAGTCTGAAGATAGTCTGAAGTCTGAAGTTTGAAAATACCGCGAAATACCGTTAGAGTAATAGTAGTTGCATAAATTGTGTTGTAAATAGTATAAGTTGTGTGTACAGAGTGAGACAAATAAATTCGTTAAGTATTTTATCGTGAGTTTAAATAGTGGACCCACGGAATCCGTAAC